TTCACACTTATAACAGTTGCGTTGCAGCATCCACATGGTCACATGATTTACATTCAGATGCTGGACAACTGGTTCAGATTTATGACTGCTGCAGTGTCCTAGGGTCATGTAGTCACCTTTTGCGACCTTCTGACAAGCCAAGTCAATGGGGAAATCACTTAACCACTGTGTTACTAATTTAACAACTGCAGTTGATTCACTTAACATATGTGGCAAGGAAAGTTGTAAAGCGGGACATAACTCACTGGTGAGTTACACATGCAATTTCTCACTTAGCAATGTAAATTCTGGGCTCAATTGTCATCGTAAGTCAAGGACTACCTGTGCTTATAGTATCCGTTTAATTGTTGTGAGCAGAATGAGAGTTGTGTTTAACATGGGTCATACAAATCTTCAAAATAAATGAAATAAAATAAACCCGACTTCCCAGAATTGGTCACAAATTCTTCCCCCATTATTCCTTGAACGGGTAGGTGTGCATGCCAACTAGATGTGAATTGCCAATAACTGAAAAAGCTTCCTTGAAGTTAGCAGCTTTTTTTCAACTATTAAAACAAATGACTAGCAACATGTGAAAGCCTCAGCGGTCTTAGTTGTAATCCTGCATGCCTTTTTTTTCCCCCCTCCTCTCCTCTGCATAGTCACAAGACAATTTCAACAGAGGGCAAGAGCACAAGGCACAGAATTTCCTCAAGGAACTGCTAGGAGCAAGCAGCAAAGGAGGCTGCTGATCTTCGCCCACCCCAAGTGCAAGCAAGGATAGACTTCATAAGACCATTTAAAAGAAAATTTGGGGAGGGGTATCGAAAGAGGTAGGAAGAAAAATTTTAGTGAAGATGCTTCAAAGCACAGAGAACAGACTCGTAACTGGATTTAGAGTCCAGTCTAACCTGTTTTGCGGTATGTACTGTTTAACTGTATGTGTTTTTCCCCTCGCTCCCTCCTCCCTCTCTTCTCATTTCTTGGCAAGAAGATCACAGCCCCTTTTCCTTCCTCTCTTCCACATTATTAACACAACACAGGCCTCTGAGAAGGCGACACTTTAAAAGAAGCACCACACTAAGTATATATCAACCTGGCAAGACCTGCATTATCAACACACAGCATCTGTATTTTCAGCATTGAATTACTCACGCCTTCTCTTTTCGTAGGTTTTGTTAAAACCTCTTTGGCGCCTTCTCCAGGAAAAAGAAAGGGGGGGGGGAACCTTGCTTCACAAAAGCATTAATATCTTATGTATTATATCGGGGATCTCCAACCTTGGCAACTTTAAGCCTGGAGGACTTCAACTCCCAGAATTCTGCAGGCTGGGGAATTCTGGGAGTTGAAGTCCACCAGTCTTAAAGTTGCCAAGGTTGGAGACCCCTGTATTATATGGACTCAGTCCAACATATATTCAATATAGTTCCTATATTCTTTTCACTGATGCCTATCTTTATCTCTAATATCAAACCAAAACCAGAACATGGCGGTGCTCTGCTCAGTTTTCTGATTCCTTCAAGATTTAGATGGGTCAACACCTGTCATTCCAAGTCAAGGCAAATTTTAAAAAAGGGAAGAAAGTCAGTAAGAGCCAGAGGATTCTCCAGGCAAATAGTTAGGCTCTTCCAGGAAATGGGACTTTCTACTTGGCAATCAAGAGGTTCTATGCAAATAAAATGTGCTTGATATACATCCTCAGAGGTAGAAAAGAAGAAGCATGACTTTCTGCTTGGAAGTGAAAACAGCCTGGGAACTGATAGGAGGTACAGCAAAAAAAATTTAATCTCAGTAAGCGAATGTAATCACTTTCAATCTATATATATAAAAGCGAAATACCACTCAAGCATCATCACAAAATCTCCAGAACCGTAAAGCCTACAAACTTTGGCACGTATGTTCCTCTTGGCTTCTAGGTGCTCACTAAGAAAGGATTTTTCGAAATGACCATCGTATATTATTATTATTAACACACTCTGGTGATGCTAAGGAGTTCTACTCCTCCTCCCCACCTGAAATCTGTTCCAAATGCAAAACACAAGCAGAGGAGTTTCAGTTTCAGAGCACCAAGCATCTTTAATACAGAACAGTTGAGCTAAGCCACGCCCAGGCTCCTTGCTGTGTCCTTCTTGCCCACACAGCAAATACTGTTTCAGTTTCAAAACAGCCCTCAACTCTCTCACACACTGACAGTACGCTAGCCAGATGAACACCAATGAATGCTGGTAGGCAGAGGGATAATTTCCGCCCCCCATTATTCTCCTCCCCCAAAACTAAGCCCAACCACATAGTTCGTAGCGAAGCATGGGTATCGAGCTAGTTCTTAAATATATTACAGTCTTAACTCAGGATTCTCTTCACCCAATAGGAAGAAGAAGAAAAATAAAGTCTCACAGATAACACACATGTATGCACTGATACATACACACAAATACACATTATTGTTTGTGAAGCTTTTTAATTTAGAAAAAAATCGACTTGTGTAATTCCCTAACTAGAGAAAGTATACAGAGGGCATCCCACAGGCTAATAGTTTAAGACTGTGAATGTAAACTATTTTAATCAGTGTTATATTTTAAGACGGGTGAATGGACAACATAATGACTTCCAGATACTGCTGTATTCCCATTACCCCTGCCAGCAGTTTGTGGGGAGAGCTGATAGAAGTTGTATAGATAGAGGTTTTATTTGGGAGGTGTCTGAGCCTACGAATTTTGAGAAAGCAGGCTGGGTTTTCTGCAATGTTCCTTCTGCCAAACAGAGACTGACTGGTCCTCTATTTGAACTGGCTAGCTAAGGCAACCGCAGATAGAACATGGATCTGAATCTAGATCAATGCCACCATGAGGGAAGGAAAGGTTTTGGTTACCACAAAAAGACACTGGTGTGCCACCTTTCAAGAGGCAAGTGTTGGATCCAATGTTACTGGATAACTACCAACCTAATTCTAATCTCCCCTTTGGCACAGCAATGACTGCGGTTATACAGGTAGTCCTCAACTTACATCAGTCCGTTTAGTGACTGCTCAAAGTTACAAAGGCACTGAAAAAAAAGTTGAGTTACAGCCGTTTTTCTCTTATGACTGCTGCAGCATCCCCATAGTCACATGGTCAAAATTCAGGTGAGTGGCAAGTGGTTCATATATTTATTGATGGTTGCAGTGTCCCAGGGTCATGTGATCACCTTTTGTGACCTTCTGACGAAGTCAATGGGGAAATCCAGATTCACTTAACAACCATATTTACTAATTTAATAAATGCAATGGCTCACTTAACAATGGTGGCAAGAAAAATTGTAAAATGGGGCAAAGCTCATTTAACAACTGTTAAATGTTTCACTTAGCAATGTAAATTTTGGGCTCAATTGTGGTTGTAACTCGAGGACTACCTCTAGTTAAAACATCTTTATAGTAACATTCAGATGTGCAAATGAGCAATCTCCCCTAACTTGCCAACATTTCATCACTAACTCATAATTGCAGGAATTGAAAAATCATGGTATAAAGACTTCTTAGTGATCTGCTTTATGTTTTTTCCCCAGTTTTATTAAGCTAAAGCAAGTATGATATTAGAATCATGTTTAAGTACAGGTTCAGTGATATAATACAGGCATTTCAATGCTTGTAGTGGCAGCCAAGCCATGAAGGTTCATTTATATAAAGAATGACAACCTGGTCTATTAGATTAGACAGCTCCATCTCTAATCTGAGGTAGGACTTAGCAGATGCTTCATGACAACCAATATGTCTTACAAAGTAACCTCAGCAAATCACCAAGTGATCATCCCTAGGTGTTTTTATTTAAGATGCCCAGAATCCAGCATCACCCTTGCCTGTTAAATGGCAGTTTTTTACCTGCCAAGTTGTATTTTTAAAGGATTATTTCAGCTTCAGTTAAGCTTGCATTTGAAAGAATGCATGCAAATTTAAGAAAAAGAGATCTTTCAAAAAAAAAAAAAAAACAGCAGCCAACTATCCCAGACAAAATGGTGCTGTTGGGATGCAAAAATCTGGTTTGGGCAAAGACCTTCTTGCAGCTCAAACTGGTCCCAAACAGAGTGGGATGCAGCCTGTTATATTGAACAGTTGTGCTCCAGCAACAAATAGGGCATTCATCAAAAACTGGAAGAGCTTCTGTTCTGAGGCTTTAAGTTCTACAAATGAAACAATCCATTGCTGATGCTTTTATGAGGGAGTGTTAAAAAAAATAGAGCGAGGGGTAGGGGTAACAGAGAGAGGGAGGGGATGCCTCAGCTGCAGAAAATGTTATATGCAAAAGAAATACCAATTTAAAAAACCCACAGACACACAAGATGAATAAGAGCTACTGTTGCACACTGTCACCCATTACTGACTTAGTTGGCAATGCAGGAAATGTTGCCCTAAAGGCACAAAGCATAGCATAATAGATAATACATGGAAACTTAGGATGGGGGGTTGCAAGGGCTGTGAGAGAAGGCTGGATAAAGATGGAATAAAGAAGGAAAATCCCGGCGGGGGAGGGAGGCAGGGCACACATTTTGTCTTTAAAATAATGTCAGACTTCTAAAAGATCCCCTTCCCAAAACAGATTCCTAATTTGATCGGCTAAATAAGACCACCTAATATCAGGTTTAGGGCATTATTAGCTAGGCCTCGTCCACACCTACATCAAAAAGGAAACATCTGGAACTAATTAAATGCCATGGTAGACACCCCTTATACTTTTTTTAGAGCTGTAACTATTACAGGTAGTCCTCGCCTTACGCTCATTTGTTTATCAAAGCTTTAAAGTTACAATAGCCTTGTAAAAAAAGAATTACAACCCATCCTAAAAGTTACAACCCCACAGTCAAGAGATTGCAATTTGGGCGCTTGGCAGCCATCTTGCATTTGCAACAGTTTACAGCAGCTTCAATCATACGATTGCACTTTGTGAACTTCCCATTGTGTCATAAGCTGAGAACTACCTGTACGCTAAAGGTAATTTACACAAAATGCTCTACACATCAAACTACAGAAGCCCCATTCCACAATAGGTAGTCCTCAACATATGGCCACAATCGAGCCCTCAATTTTTGTTGCTACATGAGACATTTGTAAAGAGTGTTTTGCCCCATTTTATGACCTCTCTTGGCACAATTGTTAAATGAATCACTGCCATTGTTAAGTTAGTAACACAGTTGTTAAGTGAATCTGGCCCTCCCCATTGACTTTGGCTTGCCAGGATGCAAAAGATAATCACATGACCCCGGGACACTGCAACCGTCATAAATGTGAGTCAGTTGCCAAGCATCTGAATTTTGATAACATGACCATGCAGTTGCTGCAATGATCATAAGTGAGAAAAATGGTCATGTCACTTTTTTTTCCAGTGCCATTGTAACATTGAATGGTCACTAAATGAACTGTTGTAAGTTGAGGACTAGCTACTTGCAATTTGGTGGTCCCTGAATGAGGAAGACATACCGAAAAGATGTATATAATTCAGTGCTTTATTTTGTATATTTCAGTAGATAAATGGTATTTAAAATGTTATTAGTATTAATTATATTAATATAAGATATTAATATTTTTCCTAACAGGTTGCATTTAGCTTTTCAAATTTCAGTCAAGATTGACAATGGGTATGAAAAATTAATAGATTTTTAGTACTCAAAATCACAAATGTATCATTCATACACACACACACACACCTGACATTTTTCCTTGTGTTTAAAACATCTTACAATTTTAAAATATTAGTGTTTTCTACACACTGTGTAATTTTTTTTTTTGCAAAATTGACATCTAAATAGCCCTATTTTAAAAAATGAACTGTTAGTTATGATGCAGTTTTTAATCAAAATAAAAATACTGTTTAAAAATATTAAAGAGTCTAAAAAATAAAATAAAAATCGCAAAGTCACTCAGTGAGTTTCCAAGGCTGACAGCGCATTAAAACCTGGATCTCCAGCTCCTTAGCACAAACACTTTAATCCCTACACCACATGGTCTCTCCTTGTTCTCTGTATGGCAAATATAGGGAGTGCATCTGGGAAGCAGCTGTTTGCCAAAGGTCTGTGTGTTTATTAGCAGAGGTGAAGCTTAAATCAGCTGCTTCCTTGTTCACAGACTATATTCTCTTTAACCATCTCTCTATGCTAGCTACCCAAAAGAAGTTTGCTCGGTATCAACATCTAATCTTCTACACTAGTATATGTATACAAGAGGCTTCTCCTCTATCTGTGGTGCTAGCTGGGAAATTTGAGGAATCGAAGTCCGCACATCTTAAAGTTCCCAAGGTTGAGAAACCCTGGTCTAAACCAACAGAAATCTATCCCCAAAAATAAAGCAATAGGCAATAGCACTTAGATTTATATACTGCTTCCCAGGGCTTTACAGCCCTCTAAGCGATTTACAGAGTCAGCATATTGCCCCCAACAATCTGTGTCCTCATTTTACTCACCTGAGAAGGATGGAAGGCCGAGTCAACCTTGAGCCAGCTGACATTCAAACTGCTGGCTGCCAGCAGTCAGCAGAAGTAGCCTGCAGTACTACATTCTAACCACTGCGCCACTACAGCTCTCAAGCAATAGCAACAGCAGATAAAACCAATTTAAAAACCACACAGGTCAGCTATAGAAGCCCCAAGGTCACGGTCCAGACAGAAATAGTATTAATGTTAGCTAGGAGACAGAAGGAAAGAAAAAGGATCAATAAAATGGATTGTTGGAAGTCAGGATTTAGAAATGAAGATATGATTAGTTAAAAGACACTCTTTTTGCATCTCAGCCAGGCATGTTTAGGATGGCTAAGTGGTGCAGCGTTTAGAATGCAGAATTAAGCGCAGTGGTTAGAATTCAGCACTGCAGTTACTTCTGTTGACTGCTGGCCGCTTGCAATCTGGCAGTTCGAATCTCACCAGGCTCAAGGTTGACTCAACCTTACATCTTTCTAAAATCGGTAAAATGAGGACCCAGATTGTTGGGGGAAATATGCTGACTGTAAACTGCTTAGATAGGGCTGTAAAGCACTAGGAAACGGTATATAAGTCTAAGGGCTACCACAGAGACCCCAAAAAACAGCTTCCTCAGCAACTTTTAAGGAGCATTCAATGGTTGGAAAAATGAGTCCTCAAAGTTTTAAAGAGTACTGTGCATCCTTTCAAATGTATTTATTTATCCAATTTCTACACCATCCATTTCACCTAAGTGACTGTGAAAAGCAAGAGTTAAGAACAGCATTCAAAAGGTTTATTTTAGTTTGCAAGAGTTCTAAATTGAATTATAAAGGTTAAACGTTTTAAAAAGCAGAGGGGGTGTCCTCAAGCCAACCAACCACCACCCAGTTTGCATGCCACACTCAGACACAAACCCCCTAATCCCAGTTGGCAGGATATCTTGATGTTCTTCTGAAAGTCTGGGAATGGGGGGGGGGGGGCTCACCTCTAAGGGCAATTCCATAGGGCCGAGACAATAGCAGAGAAGGTTTTCTTCCTAGATCCCATTAATTGAAATTCTTTAGGGATCTGCTACATCCCCTCCCCAGAGGTGGTATTCAGCAGGTTCTGACCAGTTCTGGAGAACTGATAGCGGAAATTTTGAGTAGTTCGAAGAACCGGCAAATGCCACCTCTGACTGGCCCCACCCCGATCTATTATCTGCCTCCCATTGAGTCCCAGCTGATCGGTTGGGTCTTCTTTTGTTGTCCTGCACAGGAGAACAGAGCTGGAAAGCAGGTTAGTGGATGGGGAGGGAATGGGATTTTGCAGTAACCTTCCCCAAGGAGTCGGGTGGGAATGGAGATTTTAGAGTATCCTTCCCCTGACACATCCACCCAGCCATGCCCACCAAGCCACACCACGCCCACAGAACCGGTAGTAAAAAAAAACTGAATCCCACCACTGTCCCTCCCTTGCTTGATCAGGTCAGACGGGTCTCAGCACCCAGTGAGGCAAAAGGTGAAACTGCTCTAAAATGAATGCAGCATCAATTTAACACATTCTGCCCCAAATGATTCACCAGTACAGAACAGCATATCATCACAACAGTCCAATCTGATTTATTTTTTGTTGTAAGATTTTTTTCTCTCTCCTTAAGCTCAGCTTAGGTAAAGCGTAAAAAAGCAGGTTGAGTTGAGAAAAGGAATGGGGGGGGGGGGTGTCCAAAATTAGCCAATGAGCTGTTCATGTCTGACAGTAAGTAAGCAAGAACCTAGTTCTCGTTAGTCATCATATAACACAGTTAACCATCAAAAACTGGCTTATCAAAGTGCTTTGTGTATCAAAGCAGGCAGGTAGTTGCAAGAATTGTGCCGTGCTGGGGAAGCAGACCTGACAGTTTTGAGCCTCAGCCCACTGAAAAAAACACGGAAAACGCTCCAGTGTGTGGCAGCTGCACTCTGTCTCACAACATCCTCCCCTCAAATGGTTCCATTTTGCAGCTGCCTTGCTGCAACGAGCATTGCGTTCCTGGGTGATCGCTTCCTTTCCGTACATCTAATCCTAGACAGGCAGACAGAATGGGTGCCCCTCATGATTAGGAGGACAGAGGAGCAGAACTTGTAAGGCTTGCAAGGTGGACAATTGCAGTACCAGGAAGAACAACCTGTTCTTCGGCACAAGGCACTGATTCAGTACTTATCCCGCTGGACAAATGCCAGGGGCTGTTGCTATTGCTGCCACTGACACAGTTTTAACTAGATGGCAAATGCACCAAACAGAAATCCAGGCTGCTATACAATGGCCAGCACACTAGTCTATAGTGTGGCCTAGGTATTCTTCATACGTCACACGGACATACACAACTCCTGCTTAGTAGCCCACAAAGATACTAATAATATAGCAGGGATGATCCAAGTGTCAGACTTGTTCATGCACTGAACTACCCAGTGGTGGGATTCAACTTGTTTTACAACCGGTTTCGGTGGGCGTGGCTTGGTGGGCGTGCTTTGCCTAATGCCAACACGCAGTTTTTCCCACACCAGCTGAGACCTGTAGCGCCAATCAACTGAGAAGATAAAGAGAAAAGCGCAGGGCTGGGTGGGAGGGACAATCCTGGCTTTACTCTTCCTTTTCTGTTCAGCTGATTGGAAGATATTTTTCTTCCTCTCCGCTGATCCTTGGCTCTTTTTTTTTTTTTCTTCCTACCGTTTCGCCTGAACCGGTCTGAACCGGTAGCATACCACCACTGGAACTACCCAATACAGCAGGGGTGGGCAACTATGGCCCTTTTATGAATTATGGACTTCAACTCCCAGAATTCCTGAGCAAGC